CCAGAACTTGCCAACAAGGTTGAGCTGGCTGAGTAAAACACAAGGAAAGACTGATATCTGAAAAAGCCAAGAGACAACAAAGTTACTGAAACTCCATTCTCCTCCCCTTGCTCCCTACTCTTTCTGGCCCACCGTGACCTTGCAAAATAGCAATGCAGGAGAACCCTACTCCGTAGAATAGTGTCCATAGAGATCATGTGTCTTTAAAGGAAAAGTTCCATGTGACCTTGGTGTGAATTTCACAACACACGATGCCATCATATCATTTGTAATAGTGTAGCTATTTCACCTGTGGCCCTTATCATAGTATTCAGAAGTATTTTTCACTAACAGTAAAAATGTGCCTTTAACCCACAAAATCAGTCAATTACAAATCACTCCATTGTTATAAACTGTAAATGTAAACCTTTTGTTTTGCTGAACAAAAAAAAAAGAGTTGTGCTAAAGTTCTGCAAAGAATAGCATCCTCCCTTTTCATTTTAGATTGTTTTACCACAAGACATCGATTTCAATTCATTTTGTGATAGCCAGGTCAGAAACTATAAGAAACAGCCTAGTTCTGTGTGTGATAAACACTTGTCTCTTACACCAAAGTTCAGCAAAGCAATCACCCACTGTTTTAACTTCAATCACACCATTATTTAATAAGCTAATTAAGGTACACTTAGTACACTACTGATTGTATGAGAAAATCCATATTTCTATGCAAGTTGTTCTCAGATACTTCTGATAATATCTGAGAGTATCAATCTTCTCATTACAAGGTAAAATTTAAGAACATTCAACAGTAACAGACTTCATCTGGTGCTCCACGCTTTTCTGGCTATCATCCAGCCATCCCTTTCCCATGCTTCCCACCTTCCTTCCCCCTTCTCTTCCTCTTCCTTTCCCCTTCCCCTCACCTGCTCTCAGAGGGCCTTCCTCAAGGCACTGGCAAGGCAAAGATACAACAAGATAAGAACAAACCCACTGGCTAAATATCTCCTCTGACACAACTTTGGACACTGCCCTGCCTGGAAGGTTGAGAAAAGCAGATCTGGGGCTGAACAGACCAAGGCTGGACTGGCATCACTTCACAAAGGAAGCTGATCCTCACATTCCATGGCATTTTAAGATCTACCCTATGAGGAGCAAGTTTCTCATTTCTTACCCAATCAGGTGTCATATTGACTCTGGGTTCCATCAAAAAGAAGTGTAAAGAAAAGAAGCAGCTATTTCTCTGTGGAATCTTCTTTCTTGCTTATTCAGAAATATTGTAGCTTTGAGGAGCACAAATGATACGATCCTATATGATTCTTTTGTCTCAAAATCCATTTTAAAAATATTAGTAACAAAATCACTGACAAGAATACTCTATGGGGAAAAAAATCTTTTTAGTCAGAGAGAATTTCTGCCACCTAAAACCTGATGGTTAGCTTGCTTCAAAATCTCATGGGATGATAATTAGTAAGCTTCAAGTACAGAAGGCCCATGGGACTCAAGGAATTGGGAAAGAGAGAAATCTTAGGTTGTCAGGCTGTTTGCTTCACTAAACCAATGAGAAAATAAGCAGAGGTATGTTTAGGAATCTGCCCCAGCATGAGGAATGTTTGGACTAGAATTTGAGTGTTCTGATTCCCAGTCAATAATTTCTATACCCCCATCTCTCTCCCCCTCTCTCCCTCTCTCTCTCTCCCTCTCTCCGTCTCTCTCTCCATCTCTCTCCTTCTCTTTTGCTCTTAGTTCACAAAGAAAATGCATGAAAGTTACCTTTTATAATACAAAGAATTTCTATTTCCAAACAGAGATTCAGCAGAACAATTATGAATACCAGAGGTAATCACATTTTTAAAAATGAAGTGGAAGAATCATGTATCATAATTCTTGAGAATGGCTTACAGAATCTAAATGAACATTAAGTCAAGAAAATTAACCAATAGACAAAGGTGTACTATTAAATAATACTTTGTTCTTTGTTGTCAAATGAACAACATAATATAATGGAATATATTACAATTTTTATTCTAAAAGAAGCTATCCATTTTTTTAAAAAGATTAGTTTTACTTTGACACTCAAGTAGTACCTCCCATGCGCCTTTGGGTCCCTACTCAGAGTTGAGCAAAAAGATTATGCTAAAAACCACCAAGATCTGGACAAAGTCATGGACCTTTGGCTGCTCCACTTTTACCCATTCACACCAGGCTTCCTAGTACTCACCATATGCTGCCATAAAAATGGCATTTTCTGGCCACCACAGCCTCCTGTCAACACCCCAGCAGTGGGAGTGAAAACAAAAAGATAGGGCTGTTCAGTTGGCAAAGCCCAAATGAGACAAATCTTTAGTGCTTGCCTTATCATCAGAAATACATGGGACTGAGAAGCAGCTATTCAAATTCACAATTTTAGCCTCAACAAGGATATCACTGTCCCCTGTGAATGGAAAACAGAGAGCTTGGAGATTCAAATATTTCCTAAATACATTCTCAACTTCTAAATAAATGGCAAAGTACAAAAGGAACAGAATGTTAGAGGAATTATTTCTACTACAAAATAATTTCATTTTACAAAGGGATTCTTTGATTGCAGTATTATGGAATACAGCAGAAAAAGCAATATGCACAACATGTTAAGAGTAGTTCAAGTTAGCCATCTGTATCCATGATAACACTGTGACTGTTTCATCTTTATAAATTCAGGCTCCTGATGCATACAACTGAGAAGGGGGCTGCATGTTGGATCCCAGAATGCATCGTTTATGCTTGAAAGAAGAAATAGGCAGCATTTCTAATGCTGGTATTTCCAGGGAAATGTAAGAGTGTGAATAGCCAAAGCTAGAGCTGTCATCATGATAGAAAGAACCATAGCAGATCACTTACAAACATCAGTTAGCATCTTCTGGCAGCACATACATCACACTGGAATACTATTCTGAACATGAATCATAAACTTCCTGTTTCCGTACAAGGCATTTACTTATTTCTACTTGTATTAGTGACCTAGAGGAAAACATATCAATATCTGCATATCAATATGAGGCCATTTGCTATGACAGATAATTGAAATCCCTGATCCCTTTGTGTAAATTGTAAATCAAACCATGTGATTATGCTAAAAAGAAGAAAAAAGTAAACTGTTCTGGGAGAATAAAATTGAACTTCCAGTCTTCAGAAATTATACTATTGTTTTCTTTCCCTACTCCCCTCCCCCTTGTACAAAGCTCTCTCCATTCTTTGCTAGTAATTCTTTTCCATCCTAGAGAACAGCATGGGGAAGCATGTCAGGAAAATGCAGCTCTCTGCTTTCAGTTCATCAGCTGTCAATGCCTTTGTTCTCCAAAACACACATGATGGGAAGATTTATTTTAAATACATTAGCTATCTAAAAGTGCATGCAGACAAAAAATTTACCAGGCAGAATTTATCAGATGGTGTTCAGCAATTGTGTACTGAACTCCTACAATGTGCCAACACTTAACAACCTGCTGTTCCTGATCTTGCTTGTCTTTGCACAGACTACAAGGTTAGACCTGAGTTCCTACCTCCTGTAAGTAAACATTTGTCCTGGGAGCAACTCAAAAGCTGCAAACACACCCATTTTTTTCACAGTAATTCTCAGTAATGGACAGGATCGATGGCATCTCTGCTTCAGACTTGTTAAAAGTAGGTCTTTAAGTCTCTTTCTTTGTGCAAATCAGTTGCAGCCTGGGAACAGCTGGCTTAGTTCTCAATCGACAATATTGCCCATTGAAAAATTCAGCCTCCCTAAATGATACTTCCTTTTTTTTATTTTCAACAACAAAAGACATAAAAGATAGATTCTACCTTTCTCAGTGGTGTTTTAGGCAAACAAAAACGTGCAAGCAAGACAACTGAGCAAAAATCCTCAGAAACAACCCCAGGTGAGTTCAAGGCAGGAGGCTGAGCAAGGAGGAGTCAAAGTGGGGATTTGTGATCTAAGAAATTCAGCCTGATGAATGGGGATGGGGGAAGGAAAGGGGAAAGTGCTGTTTGCAGTTATAACAAATTAAGTGTGTTCCTGCAGCTGTCTTGATTTTGTTTCAACTGGCACCATGAGAACGCACAGCAGTTACAATCTAGTTTCGTGTCTAAGATTCAACGAGAGTAACTCAAGTGCACGAGTGATACAAAGGCAATATCCAACCAAACCAAGGAATCGACTCTTAGGGCAATCATGTCAACGTTTAAGTGTGTGCTTGGACCCAAAAGCAGGAGGAGGCAACAATGCTTGATAAGAAATGTACTCATTACCTTGCTCATGTAATTGTAACCCCTCTGTACGGTATTTTCACAATAAAAAAAAAGAAGCTTTTCATTATTCATAGGGTCCAGCTATCAATTTCAGATGACCGTTTCATAGGATGTAGACCCGTCCTGATCTACCTTCTTTTAAAGAAATCATTCATGACTTGAAGTGCTAACTGTAATGAGACTGGCGTCACAGATGGAAGCCAAAGATCCCAAGCGAAGTCCTCTGAAACACAGTCCCTACAATTCCGGTGGTGGAGTGTAAAGACGGGAAGTGTGGGGGATTCCTCCGCCCTTCTGGTCCCTGGCCAGAATGGGTCCTGGCTGTCAGGTGGGTGGGTGGCAGCCAGCCTGAGCTTTGGTTAAGACCAGGCGGGCATCTGGGGGCCGGGACTGAGTGGTTGGAGGGCCCAGCCCTATCAAGTGTTGAGGTTGGGACCCGCAGTCATCGCTGGGGGTAGCTCCAGGCAAGGGGTGCAGCCTTTCCCAGAACCCAGGAGGAAATCTGCTGTCAAGCCAGCGCCTCTCTGGCTCCCAGAAAGCAAGCTAGGCAGATGAGGACACGGACCCTTCCTCGAGCACAAAGGTTGGGATGTGAGCACGAGCGCGGGGGCGCAGGGGCGTGCGCTACAGAATGTGAGTGTGCGCGTGATTGTGTGTGTGTGTGTGTGCGCGCGCGCGCGTGTGCCTCTGTGTGTGTGTGTGTGTGTGCGTGCGTGCAGGGGAAGCAGAGGAGGTGCTCCAACCCTTCTTACCTTTCGAAGATAAGCCGCACCATGAAGATGCAGAAGGCCAGGGGGAAGGCGAGATAGAGGTCCTCAACCTGCGGGAAGGTGGCTTCCTCCGTGTTCTTCAGGTCTGCCCAGGTGACATTGTGCGGGAGCCAAAACCTCTCGTTCCAGAACCAAGCTAAGATCCCTGCCATCTTGCTTTGTCCACTCCTGTCGTGCGGCTCCTGTGGCCCTCCAAGCTCTCCGCGGCGCAGGACGCCCGGGGATGCGCGCTGGGCTGGCCCGGAGCCTGT